CGCGTGCCGCGTGCTGAGGAGAAAGCGCTCCCTCGCGCGGTTCCCTCAGCGCCGGCCGGGCGACCGCCGCCTCAGGAGCCGCCGTGCGGGCCCCGCTCCGCTCCCCTCGCTGGCCGCTGATCGAGCTAAAGGTGTCCCTGCCCACTGCAGGGGGGGTTGGGCGAGACGACCTCTAAAGGTCCCTTCCAACCCCAAACATTCTTTGATTCTATGATTCCGTGCATTTTGAACTGGACAGGAGCGCCCTCTGAGCACAGCTCTCCCGTACGCGTTCGGAATCCCGTGGCCACCACCGGTAAATGGGGTGGGACGGGGGAGGCACAGGGGGGAAATCCTATTCCACAGGTTCCACGGCAGCTGAGCCCCGGCTGCAAACTACCCTTTGTCAACACCACCAGTTTCCTTGCTTCAGATCCTGACGTTGGGAGCAAACAGCCCATATGTACTGAAACACACAATAACTCCCGAAAAAAAATTGAGGATGGCATATGCTTAAAGGGGTCAAGTAGCAGAATTAACCTGTCGCCTTCAAAAATAACCAGTCCTGTCAAGCTTATTTACATATAAATATTGGAATTTAGTAAAATAGCTCTGTTTAATTTCATAAACCAGTATTAATACCTAAGGTATCTATATCTAGTAGTGCCACATGGACGGCCAGCTGGTTTTATAGTACTCAACCTTCTCTTTGGGTTAAAATGTTGATATTTTCTTCACTGCCCCTTTTGAAAGGAAAAACTAGTAGGATGCTTGGGAGAAAAGTAGATGTGAAGTGTTCTTGCATTTTAAACAGCACAGTTTAAGTTCTTGCAATGGCAAAGTAAGTGGGCATTTTAGTCCAGGTTCAAGACCTGATAGAGGCGAGTACGTGTGTGAGCAGTGAATCTTTACTTGGCAGGAGCCATCGGCTCCAAGAAGAGAGGCAAAACAGTGTTGAAAGGAATGGAAAGGATTGACAGCTTGTCAGCCTTTTGAGTGTTTTCTGTAAAGCTGTCCTTTTGGAGGACATTGGTATTTGCTTGGTTGAGGATCAAATGATCCCCTAATTTCCCTCCACTGGCAATAAGCCACGATGCTGCAGTCCTAATTTACCGGAGTGAGATTTAAGTACAAGTGGAGTAGACAAAGTTTAAACTTCTATTCTTCTGCATAATCCCAATAAAGGATGAAGCTGAAGATTTCATGAGATGATGACTACATCATTGAATTCATTAGAAAAGTTGGGAAACTGTGATTTAATTCTTATTCAAACTCACATGAAAATGTTCACTGCACCTCCCCCTGGGGACTAAATGAAAGCTGTTTACCATCAACTCTATTTTTAAAGAAAAAAATGTTTCAAACAAAGAAAAAGGGAAATCCTGATATCAATAGCGAAGCCCAAAACCACAATGCTACCTCCCACCCATGCAGTAAAATATGTTTGCAATATGGCTTGCAGAGCTGCACAGCAGGGAGAGGGTGAAGGGAACTTAAGTCGGAATTGACTGACACATGGCTGAGATTAGAAATAAAAATGAAACTTCCCAGCCAAGAGAAACCGCAATAACATACAGATTATAAAATGAAGGAGGAACTTTCCACCCTCAACTGCAGCAATCTCATTCTTCTTACAAACTCTGGACCAGCAGAGAAAAACAATCAGGATCATTCCAAAAGCCATTCCTATCCTGGAAGGAAAACCAGGAGGTAGATATATGTGCTAGACAGTGTATCAGTATCCTTGTGTCTTTGTCCCTATACAATGCAGGTATTTCTCCACACTGACTTTCAAGATACTGTGGCCTATCTCCAAAACTAATACTATGTCATTGCCATGGTCTTCTGCTCTAACTAGCCCAAAGGCAGGTTTAGAGGGATAAAAAGAGAGGAAATAAGAGGTAAGCAATTACAATACTACTTATATGATATCAGAAGATGAATGCGTTTTAAGAATTTTCTTTGTATTTTTTTCTGCACGATGCAAATGCTGTGTTTCTGGGCTTATGTGTAAACTGGAAGGGTGCTGTTATTCCAGAGGAGACATTCTCCAAATAAAGATTTTGCATGGATATGCTCCTCTGTGATGT